GATGGAATCGTTGAGAATCAAGAAGGTTGCGTGATAATATATACAAAGGGATCCCTGTTTACTTATTATAGGCCGGGACATGTCCAGCCAGTGTAACGTACTTACATGAAGGCAAATCTCCGCCTTGAGATCGACAAGACAAGGCAAATTGCTGCCTACATATGCAGCGTCGCTTACACGAGAATGATGATCTATTTTGCTTTACGTATTTATCACGGTATATGCAAGCGAGAGTAGCCACAGTGAGTAAGAAGAAATGCTAATGCAGCCATTGCCTAATTTATTATAATGAGATTATTGTATGTACGCCACAACCCCTTAGTCTCTTAAGGCGAGAAAGTAGTTGGTAGGTAGCTTTTTCGGAAGTTTTATACCTTAGTAGATATCGTTATCTATTACTGAGCGCTGATCTTGACATAGTTTATAATACGCGCCTTAACAGTATGCAGCCTGATCTTGGGGAGGCCTAGTGCTGACTAGTCCTTATCGCAAGCTGGTCAGCAGGTAAATCTATGTGTGCTGACATGCATCAGCGTATAATAGTCGTTGTTAGCCTTTACGGCTGAGATCGGCTAGCGGACGACTGCCTAGACTTGGTAATATAAGCCACTCGGTAATAAGTTGACGAGGCACATACTGAACTAGGTTTAGCTTAATGTAGATAGCCCTGAAAGTCATTAAAAGATATTTCAACTATCTAGGGCTATAAGTTGCGGGGCTTTCCTTGCTAATGCCACGGATCCCCGCCCTTCTATTGTCAGTGGTCGGGGCGCGAGGCAGATTCGGGCTTCTTGACCTTTTAGGCTTCGTCCGCACCCTGCTAGTCTGCGTACCACCTAAGTGTCGGGATAACAATTAGAGCCTCGCTTACACGCTGCGTAACCACAGATACTGCAACGTCATCTAGCGCTATTATAACAGCGGCTGTAAAAAGATTTAGTAGACTTGTTTATAATAAAAAATAGTAGTAAAAGTGGAGGAGAGTGAAAAACCAATAAATGTTAACATTTGAGATGGTTGAAACCGTGCGAGTAAAGAGAGAACGCGGCTTGATTATAAAAGAGTGTCTAGCAGCGAGCTTTATATACTTGAGGATCAGAGCAGTCATGTGCTCGCTTATAGAAAGTAGCAAGGGGATAACAGGGTGTTGAAACAACGAAAAAGTAAAATGAATATAGAGAATAATGCATGAAGAAATATGGCCTGATAGTTCAACACTAATCTTTATTGTTAACTCCCTCAGTTACCGCTTCCGTTTTATTGCCGCCCCTCTATATAAGTGAAAGAGAATAAGCTCTACTCTATAAGAGGAAAAAATAAAAAAAACCCGTGAGTAAGTGTTGAACCAAAAGGCGGGCCCGCGCATTTGATGCGCAGGTTTGAGTGACCTATATATTCCAACAGTAAGCTAAAGCTACGCGTTTTCTCGACCTAACCCGCCGATAATCTACTATTTTTCCTCGTCCTTATAGTTCCTAACCCCGTTAGATGAACCCGCCTCTACTCTTACCTACGTGTTTAGGGAACTGACGTTAGCCGCCTTCGGCTTCTTCGCTACGACTTCCCTATCATTTTGTCAACCAGAATCACTCCGATAACATGCGTTTTCAGCCTTACAGGCAGTTGTTACACTACAGCCTTACCCCTTACACCACACGTTTATCCACTGCAAGGAAATAAGGATCTCAAAGAGAAAACGTGTTCTTTTAGATAGTAGCATATATACCTCCATAGGTAGTAGTAATCTAGAGGGACGAGCGGCGTCTAATTCCTCGCGCCTAGCTCCACACATCTCTACTAATTTCCGCCTGGGATGAGGAACGCTTCGCGGCTTTTTCGATTACTGCTACCCGGCTTGTCTTCTCTACCAAGCCCTCGGCCTTATTCTGAAGTATCTGAATTACCTTCTTATGTCCTCTGAGTGAAGCGGCCTGGAGAGCATTACTATAGTAGCCGCCCTGTGCATTGACGTTGGCACCTTTATCGAGTAGAATCTGAACTACTCTCTCGTAGCCCTTAGAGGAAGCAGCCTGGAGGGCGTTGCCATAGTAGCCGCCCTGCGCATTGATGTCGGCACCCTTGTCGAGTAGAATCTTAACGACCTCTTCGTAGCCCCTATAAGAAGCAACCTGGAGAGCGTTGCCGTACTCGCCGCCTTGCGCGTTGACATCGGCACCCTTGTCGAG